GTGATGACTCATTCTAAAAAATCAAATAACCAAAAAGTTCACCTGTGTAGTATTTACTATTCAAAGATCAAAAGTATTATATATTTGGTTTTGTTGACTATGTATCATTCAAAGAGCATAAGTACAATGCATAAGTATTCTGACTCTAAGAGATAGGTTGGAGTTAATTTGAAACCTAAGTCTTAAGTAAGGAGATTAATACATTAGTCATTTGGTCAGGGAGATACAATATTTGAAGGTAGGTACAGTCATCCATTGGTATCCACAGGAGATTGGTTCCAGAAACGCTCACAGATACAAAATGAGGATGCTCAAGTGCTGTAGTTAGCTCTCCGTACCCGTGGAGATGAAACCTGTGAATGCAGAGGGCTGACTGGATTCTATTTCTTTACCTTTTTGTACTTAATATAATTCTTCACATTTACCTCATAAGTAGTTAAATAAAATATATACAGCACCTATAAAATAAAAAAATAATACTAACTCAATGGTTTATGCTTTTATATCACAACTCTCAGTAATTTCACCAATCACTCCTAGGGACACCCTGGTGTTAAGACTGAGCCATCATCTATGACATTCCTGTTTGGGGGACAGGCTGGCTGCATCCAAGAAAATGAGAAGCGATGGCTGGTCTTGTTTTACAAATCCAACCCCATAGAGTGTCAGCAGGCATAATCTCTTTGCACGCTTCCCCATTCATCTTTGACATGCAAGAAATCATGTGGATTAATGAGATGTGATAGAACAATATTAAGAAAAATATTAAGGTTTAAAAGCAGAACCACTCTATCTCTGGTTTGAATCATGGTCTTATTTTTCTCCTGAGTGTATGAGTTTTAGTTCTGAAAATATTTTTTAAAAAGTGCCGTGGCTGGTTTTCTTAGTGGTTAGAGCAGGGGTCCTCAAACTATGGCCTGCGGGCCACATGCGGCCCGCCGAAAACATTTATCGGGCCTGCCGGGTGTTTTTGCCGCCGCTGCCTGTTGCTTAGCAGCCGACTTGTCCCGGGCCCGCAGTGCACATGTGTGGAATGTGCGCCACACTCTCCGACTCCCCTCCTTCTCTCTGTCTCTCGACTCCTCCTCTCAGTCTCGGGTGTGATCAGATGAGTCACAAGCTTGCCTGTGCAGAGCCTGCTGCTGCCTGAGGACCGAGGTAAGAACAAGTTAGGATTTATTTATTTTTGAAGTTAGGAGGTCTATTTTTTTTTTTATTTTGCAGTTAGTAGGGCCTTTTTTTTTTTTTTTTGAAGTTAGGAGAGCCTTTTTTTTTGAAGTTTTGTTTTTTTACTTCAAAATAAGATATGTGCAGTGTGCATAGGAATTTGTTCATAGTTTTTTTTTTAAACTATAGTCCGGATCTCCAACGGTCTGAGGGACAGTGAACTGGCCCCCTGTTCAAAAAGTTTGAGGACCCCTGGGTTAGAGCATCGGCCTTCAGACAGAAGGGTGGTGGGTTCGATTTCCAGTCAAGGGCATGTACCTTGGTTGCAGGTTCCCCAGCCCTGTTGGGGTGCTTGTGGGAGGCAACCAATCAATGTGTCTCTTTCATGTTGATGTTTCTCCCTCTCTCTCTCTCTTCCTCTCCTACCTCCCTCCACTGTTTCTAGAAATCAATGGAGGAAATATCCTTGGGCGAGGATTAAAAATATATATATATTAAATTTCTTAACACAAAAATGTTTCATATAAAGAACAAAATTTTTAGAGATCTTTTTTACAACATCCTTAGAAGCAGAGTAGAAAAATACACCACCCAAAAGACAAACACTGAAAAAGATTCCATTTTTTTCTGTTGTTGGAACCACATGTAAGCATTTAGATCCTGGTCTCAAAAAGCATAAGATAAGCACTGCTATTGAGAGAATATAACTAACAAAACATCTGTATGAGAAAGCAATCCTGAAGCATCTCATCTGATCACGAATCTCAGTGGGATGTCTACATAGCACCAAAACTACCAGCTAAAAAGTACACAATTTACACTACTTGTTTACAATTATGAGTCAATGAATTTCACTTTCACACCAGTCCATATAGACCCTTAACTATGTGTTTTGTTCCACAAACATGTGAAGCAGCAGCGACTGATGACGAGCCTGGTCTCTACTGCCAGAAGTCACGGGTTCAAATCCTGGGTCTTCCACCCACTGCCTCATCACTTAGACTGGGAGCAGGCCTGTTTCATCAGCTGTAAAATGGGGATAATGATAATTCCTACCTCATAGAATTGCTAGAAGAGTAATTAATTAGTACATGGAAAACATTGAAAACAGTTCCTGGATACAGCAGAGTTCAATTAGGGTCAAGTGGAAAACTGAGATGGCATCAGCATGCCTTCATTATCTTGAGAGGTCGACTCCCAGGCCACTGGTGGAAAACCAAAATGTTCCTGGCAAAGGACAGCTGTGCTGCGCTACATAACACCGTAGGATCTCTGTTTTATACATTTGCTGTGGTGTTGGGCAGATCATGCCTTCGTGAACACACTTTCCTGGGTAAACAGAATTCTCGAGAGTTCCGTAAGAGCTGGGTTATTTGTCTAGGTTGTCTTTCACTACTTCATCTTTAGTACTTATCTAGCACCTGGCACATAATCAGCTCTCAACAAATACCTGCTTTTCTTAATGAATAGCTGAAGGAAAGGATCTGGAGCTCTGCAAAAGCAACAGGCATTTGACTAAACAGATCTGGGCAAGAAAACACTTATGTCAGACCCATTAATATTACTACCCACTCAATTATTACAATGAAAAAAATATTTCCCTAATACTGGAAGTTATTTCCTAACTGCCATTTTTATCAGATAGTCAGAGGGATCAGCTGCAAATATAAATGTCAATATATTGAAAGTATCCAATAACATTCAGATCTTCCTTGAAACATTTGTGAGAACATTATATAAAGAATCATGATGGTTACTTCCATTTACAATAATTTTCAGTGAAAATAGTGAAAATACTGAAATTTAAAAATTAGCAAAAAAGTTAAATAGGAAAACAAACATGTCTTAGAGAAGGTTAAGCTCTAATTTTTCAACCTGAAAAAAGTCCAACCTGATGCCTTGCATTTCTAGCTTACAGAGAAAGAAATAAAAAAATAAGAAATAAATGAGTTCTGTTGGCTAAAGAAGTACTTTGTTATCTATTAAACTATAAAGGTAAACTTTCTGAGAACTGATGGAAAATTTATAAATTTATGACAAATTTAACAATTTCCTATTAGAATGTTAGTAACATTTTGAAAGCTAACGCCTGAAATTTTATCCTATCACCTAAATAAAACACAGTAACTAAAAATTAATTTGTTATTTGGGATACAATGAAATAGAAATAAACATTAGAACAGAAATATAATAAAATTAATTTGTTCTTTGGGATACAATGAAATAGATTCTCAGAAAGAATAAATAGCTGGAACATCATCTCTTTAAAAAATACACAGAAAATATGAAACAGCTATTATAGAGGCCCAGTGCACGAATTCGTGCATGGATGGGGTCCAGCTGACCCGCCCCAATCGGGACCAATCGGGCTGGGCTAGATAGGGGAGGGGCTGCAGGCGGTTGGCCGAATGGCCCTGTCCCCTGGTTGAACTCCTGGTTGAGGGGACAATTTGCATATTAGCCTTTTATTATATAGGACTAGTGGCCTGGTGCATGGATTCATGCACGTTGAAAGGAAATTAGAAGAAATATTTTAATATCACTATTCGCCCTTTATCTATAATAGAAGTATCAACCAAATTCATGATAGACAATGACAGATCGAAACACACGCGTGCTACTGGCACCAGCGAGAGCTTTATATGTATTGTGCATGTGCAAATCAACTTAGCCTTTTATATATATAGAATAAACTTGCTTAATTAGACCTGCTTTCTGATTTAGCTAAACTTTTTCCAGCCCAGTGAAGCACCCCAACATCTCTTTCAGTAATTGTCAGCAACACAGCAGTAAATATCAACACAAAGTAGGTTATTATTGTAGATCATGCAGGGAGAACAAAGAGTAAAATATTTAACTGCAGCAAGTGTTTGACTGTATTCTGTGCAGTGAGAAAACCTGAAGTCATTTTCAAGGTCCACCATTTCTTATTTATTTTCAGTCGGGTCAAGTTTCTAAGCTTTCTAAATCTCCATTTTCTGGCTAATGAAAAGAAAATAGGATTCCACTGAGTCTCCTATCTACCTACTCTAGGACTTCTGTGAAGATGAAATGAGATGAGGCATGGGAAAACACTTCATAGACATTTGGTTAAAGTGTAAAATGTTTCCACTTGGCTATAAAGCAAGTTGTATTCCTGGGTTGAAGAAACTGCAAGGAGGCTAGTTGCTAGGGAGAGGAAGCTGGGCTCAGCTGTGGGCCGCATTTTGGGCCATGGGGTCTCGGCAGTGTTGGCTGCAAATTGGTGGGCTGTCGATTCAAGGTGGTGGAGGGGCCTGTGTCTCACTTGGGGGAAGCAGAGTGTTGCTTTGTGGGCACCAGGTCCGCGGTGCCATTTCTTTGTAAATGGCCAGTGTATGTTACGGCAGCTCCTGTGTTGAGTATCTGCCCCCTGGTGGTCAGTGTGCGTCATAGCGACCAATCGGGTGGTCAGACACTTAGCATATTAGCCTTTTATATATAAAAGACTAGAGGCCCGGTGCACGAATTCGTGCACTGGTGGGGTCCAGCCATCCCACCCCGATCGGGGTTGATGGGGCCGGGCCAGCCAGGGGTTGGAGATGTGGCAGGTTGGCCGGCCGGCCCCGCCACCAATTGGGGTTGGGGGGGGGGGGGGATGATCGGGGGCAGGGCTGGCCAGGGTGAGGGACCGCAGGTGGTTGGCCAGCCAGCCCCACCCCCTGGTAGAACTCCAGGTTGAGGGGACAATTTGCATATTAGCCTTTTATTATATAGGATGGTAAAAAAAATAACTAAATGTGCTAATACCAAAACATATAACCTGAAAAACTTAAAAAAATAAAAAAAAGGTTCCAATCCTCATTTTGGTTTACCTTGCACCATGAGCATGGGCTCCCTGCCCCCACCATGGGCCAGCATCTCCCTTCGGTACCGCTCCCCTGTCGACCTGGGGAGATAAGAGACTGTTACCCTCATGCACAGCTTACTCCACCCCATTCACAGGTGTCTTGAGTTTCTCAAAAGAAGCCACACTGATATCATATTCAGAAAACCTGTCACCATGAGATAATTCAGCTCTTAATTTTCTTGCTTCTAAAAATTTAATTCCAATTTTTTAAATTATTCTAATGAGTAAAACCATGTATTTATTGTAAAAGGCTAACTATATTTTTAACTGCTTTGTAGCAAGCAATCTCTTCATAGAAAGGATTATTTCATATACGTATTATAGAATAAGTAAGATTATATCCTCTTCATCATCTTTTGGATTAGTTTACAGTGAGATTTGAAATTATTTATGCCATTTTTTACTTTTATAAAAGAACTTGAGATGGCACCTAACAAAGAGAAAAATAACATTCTGAAATAAAAGTGAAGAAGAAAAAAAGCTGGCAGGAGAGAATTAATTACCCTGGGAGACCTTGGCTGAGGATAATAGCTAAGGGAACAGAAAACTGGCTCGGCAGTGTGTGGGTGGCAAAGGCAAAGGCAAAGGCGAGAACAGCTCGTTTTCATCTGCAGATACTCTTGGTCAGCTGGATTCTATAAGGAATACTGTCTGTAACACTAGAAGGTCAGGAAGAATTTTTATAGACAGAAATTCTCCAAATTAATGGCACCTGGAGACAAGCTATTAAGTGCTATTCATGTATTTTATGGAAGATGCAATTCTTTTAATGGAAATGACCACACACTATGATAACATAAAATAAATTTTGATGGTTTCATTCCATTCTTTCTGTAGCATCTTTATGTATGGGCAATTTTGTGAACATGATTTCTAATCAGAATTTTTGACATCATTACCATATCAAAAATATGTTCATATCAAACACTAATTTGGGTTACATCCTGCAGTGAGAGCTAAGGCAAAGTGTGTCCCAAAGCAGGAAATGTGGACAGAAGGCTGGGCCTTCTCAGGGAATAGGGACAGGTGAAAGGGCCCGATTCCAGCCTCGGGGGTTTGGAATTCCCTCCCAACCACTGTACTCTGCTCCCCTGGCCTGAGTCAAACTCCTGCCACAGGCCTCCAGTTTTCTGCCTGCTCTGTCCTGCCTGGCTTCTTGATATCAGCTTCCAGCTTGGTAATTTTTCAAAAGTGGGATCAAAAAGGATCTTTGGACAGAGGTTAGAAATTTTCTAGTCCAATGAGTATTTTTACTAGCTTACTTTTACATGTCTATAAAACTATGGCAACTACATGTCCAGGCAAGAATGCATATATAAACAAGGTATAAATACTTGGAAATATATGTATTTAAGAGTATGTGGTTTTCTAGTAAAGTGTAGTTCCTTTAAAGAAGATAATATTTTGTCTATTTTATAGAAATCTCCAGTAAAGAAATGTAATCCCCCCAAACTGATTTATTGTGGTTAATTTTGGCTTTATATCCTTGGAAAATAATAAACTCTGAATAGCAGACCGAATGTCTGCAAGTGCAAAGGACTGAACACAAAATAACATGTGGGTACCATGCTGTAAAACATTTAAAAATTCTATTACATCAGATTCAAAAGATTTGGAACTGAATGTGATTATTAACTGCTGAAGAAAGCCAAACCTATGTCAAATTGTATGAAAAGTTGAGGGGGTGTGCAGGAAGTGGGGAAAGAGAAGGGACTAGGAATTAGCAGACCTAGATTATAATCTTACTCCACCCTGTTAACTACGAAGGCTTGAACAAATAAATCTGTTCTCTCTGAACCTCAGTTTCCTTTTATAAAACCCACTGGCTGAGCCAAAGCTGCTGAGTGTAAAATAACATGCCACATGAAAACTCTAGGGCCTCTAGAAAGCTAAGATGTCATCCATCTTAAACAGTGTGAAAGCAGTCAAGAGAACAGTCATCCACAATGGCTGCCTGACATTTGGAGATGTACGTATTTATTTGTGTGGTTAGGAGATAAAATGCTTTCAATGACTATCAGACCTGATCATAATTAGTGGTTTGCTTTCAAAGGCAGCTCCTTCTAAGGACTCACGGAATCAGAACTTGACTTCCTGCTGTCAGGAGGCCCAATTAGGGAGCAACAGGAGCTCTCCCGTGCTTCTCCAACCAATAGGAGCCTTGTGATGACCCTCTCAGGCCCTGCTCTCCCTCCTCCCCAGGCCCCATGTCCTTCCTCTGTTGCGGGGAAAGGGGTGGCATACTTGTCCCTAGATGAAATTTCCTGTGGGCTCATTAAAGCTCACCACATCCACTGGCTAATCTGATGAATTATGATCTGGGAGAGGCCAGAAGTCTCCACACAGATGTTCCCGTAGCCTTCTAGACAGAGCTGCAGGCTGTGTTTTCGGAATCACTGACTATCCCATGAGGACAACGATGAGGCAGGGAAGTGGAAAGCCATGTTGAGCAGGTACCCACACTGTCTGAGTGGCAGCAGGTGGAGCAGTCCCCACAAACCCCCCCCCCCTTTTTTTTTTTAACTTGTCACTGCCTTTAAAGGTGAAGGAAAAGTGCTCCAAAGTCAGGCAGAGGGTGAAGTTTCTAGAATAAACTGTATGCTAAGGTCAATAACCAAAGTTCCCAGTGGTGCTTCTCCCAAAAGAAGAAAATAACAAGTCCTTTGTTAGGCAATAAAGAAATGAGGTGTTCCTCATGAGGAAAACTTTGAATGCTTGGCTGAAAATAAGGACACTTGTCAAACAGGAAGTACTGGGTGCAACAAGGTACTGAAAACAGGCGAGGCTGGACAACTAAGAAAACCTATAGGAAAGGATGAAGACAAAGCAATCTGGGCCCATTCTGTGCAAAGGCACAGAGCGCTCACATAAAGGGTCCCCATGGGCATGACGGCAGAGCACCAGGCTATTAGCAGAGGGTAAGGTAAGAAAGTTCGGGACCAGGCTCTGTCTCTGAAAGGGTCTGAGAGAGGTTTGGACTGAGTGATGACACTGCCTCAGAAAGCTTCGTACTGTGTCCTGAGTGGCCGAGGATTCTCAGAGCCTGACTTTGGATGTAGTGAGGTGGGGGGATTACAGAAGTTGAGGGGAACATTTTATGCCATACTCCCCTTATTACCTGTTAAAAGGATCCTGTAGGAAACATTCCTTCCAAACCATGGAAGCTACTGCCCTGGACATCAGGTAAGAGTAATACTTGGCACCATAGCCCACGAGGTGACTGAATCGCAGCTGCCAGGCCTGCCAAAACAGAAATACAGCACCAGGAACAATGAAGTCTCTCTATTTGCAAATGTTATGTATGAGAACACAATGAGAACACATATGGAAATCTGCAAATGTTTTCATTTAAATTTCACCCTAGAGGGCCATGTCACTCACAATATTAATTTTTTTCACATTTAATACAGTTTTGAGTTGGACTGTGTCTCCTCAAAATTCTTATGTTGAAGCCCTAACCCAGTGGTTCTCAGCCTTCTGGCCCTTTAAATACAGTTCCTCATGTTGTGACCCAACCATAAAATTATTTCCATTGCTACTTCATAACTGTAATGTTGCTACTGTTATGAATCGTAATGTAAATATCTGATATGCAGGATGGTCTTAAGCGACCCCTGTGAAAGGGTCATTCGATCGCCAAAGGGGTCGCGACCCATAGATTGAGAACCGCTGCCTAACCCCAGAACCTAAGAATGTGACTATATTTGGGAAAGGGGCCTTTAAAGTGCTGATTAAGTTAAAAGGAAACTGTTAGGGTGGGGCCTAATCCAATAGGACTGTTGTCAGAAGGGGAACAATACCAGGGAAGGATGCACACTGAGGAAAGACCACATGAGGACACAGCAAGGCGGATGCAGTCTGCAAGCCAAGGAGGGAGGCCTTGAGGAAACCAATCCTGACATCTAATTGTTTTGCATGTTTGTCACTGCTGGGATTTATCTCCATGACAGAAATGTAGAGAGAACAGTCCCAGTGCAGTGGCAGAAGTGGTGATAATGGAGCAGGGCTGGGCTTTGACACTGACTCCAGCCTGTCTGGAATGCCTGGTCAGCAGCGAAGAGGAAACTTCAGGTCTGGCACTGAGTGCATTCATTCTTTTTGAGGACAATGATGTAGTTATTAAAGAAAGGCCATGTGAGTTTTCATGCAAGAATGCTCTTCTCTGGAAAATTTATTTTCCTATGAATACTGCTCTTTCTCTGTACCTAAAAGCTGAAAATACCTACATTCTGATTGGTTAGTAGGAGAAGGGTTCTCCAAGTGCAAATGCATAAACTACCATAGCATATGCATTCATGGTAACACTATTACAACAAAAGCTAGATTTACAAACACTATCCTTAAAATACATGTTTATGACTTTAAAATTTTTACTTTTCTGAAACAAACCTGACATGCAATAATCCACTTGTATTCCAATGTATGCTTTATCTGACATTCAAACTTTTAAAAAAATAAACTGAAGCCTAAGTTTTTTTAAACCAAGGTAATCATTACATAATAAAACTTTTAACTCCCTAGAAAATAAAGTATAATTCTCACCACAAATCTATAAACTAGACAAGAAAATGCTACCTAAATTATTAAGGAGCAAATATTTACCGAACATAGATGGTTCCCTGATCACAATGCTGTGGCAAATTTTAGAATATACTCTGAGTCCTACACCCATTTTAATGATGAAATCATAGTGCTGATTTTCTCTAAGTGTGTCCCATACTTTTAGACAAGTATTTGCCTGGACTGGGCAAAGGGGCTGTTATAAAGGAAGGCATGCCGGAACAGTCAGACTAATGTAAAACATGAGGGTACCAGGGAAGAGATAAATATCCTCATATCCACTACCCCCTTTTTACAAAAGAATATGATTAGAAGTAAGGTGGGCACCTTGCCAATTGTGTCCTTGAAGTAAAGAGATGTGCCTCCTCCTCCTTGTCCTGCATCACATGGGGCCATCTGTGGAGGTGAGACCTTAGCAATGGGGGAGCTGAAAGTAGGAGTGTGGTCTCTGACTCCCTGTGGCCACAGTGCTGGGAGGTGTGCTCACATGGCAGCTATTCTGGGTCTGTTACAGTAACCAGACCAGGATCCTTTCTAATTCGCCTCAGGCACAGGTGCCACCACTATGCAGCACCATGAAAATAAGAAGATTGGTGGGGCTGAAGCCCTTGAGGTTCAAAAGTGGCCTTGCCCTGGGCTCAGAGAATATGACTGCACATTCTCTTGCCAACAAGTACCCTCAGGGAGCAGTGGAGAGCATGGGAAGATAGAGACAGGCTTTACACCGTTTGCATGCAAGTGGTAATTAAATTGAAGGCAAATAGCCAACGACTGACCATCTATGGATCAGATTCTGTTATAACAAACTTTGAATGACTAAATTTTTAGTCCAAGGGTGGGGTCTCTTGGAATTCATTTATCATCTATACACAGTTCTGTGTACTCTGTATTATTTTAAAAAGGGATCTATGTCAGTTTTCGTGTTATGTTGGAATCTTAACGTACCACTGGTGATCTTTTCCATATAAAGCCATAGGCATGTGATTGTATCTTCTGTAATGGAATATAACTGGCTGCTTTAACACGATACTCCACCAATACTGGGTCTCATGCTCTTAATGATATAAGTCTCTCTTAGGGTGAAAGCCCCAAGGCTGGTAGCACAGTTAAGGGGCTCTGTCTTTCAAACTTTTCCTTCTTGGTGATCTGCCAGAACAAGTTTGGCAGCCTTTGCTGTAGTGAGCTGAGTTTAATTTTGTTTAGATTATAGCTGAGTACAGTTTGTTTTCTCTTGAAAGCAGGCCTACTTCAATAATGGTATTTAATTTGAGCTAAGAAATTTCTAAGTTCCTTAGTTTCATCAACTTGTAACTGAGCTCCCACATAAACAGAGCAATAAAAATAAGACCTTTCAGAAGTGTAGAGACATCAGGATTTGTGCAATGCACAGTGTCCTGAACTGCCACAGCGTCTGTCTTACACTAATGTCCCCACCTGGATTCAGATATTTTAACAAAGTGCACACCTCGCTATATCTTGTTCTTTAATTATAGGTTTGATTCCCATACTACTTCAAGACATGCCGAATAAATTATACCTTTCATCAGTGGTTTCTAAGTTTATGACAGACTACGACCTACAATTTCACTGCTATTTGACCACAAATGGCTAAATTCCTGCTAATTCAACCTAATATTAAGTTCTTGTTGCCATTTCACTCATTCATCAGGAAAAATTAAAGACAGAATTTCATTTTAAATTCTGAAATTATGTAATATAATTTCATCTTATATCTTCTTCCTTTTAAATTGAAGTTTTCTTCTTCCTAAAGGGCATTTATCAGGTGGACAAAAGGTTTCACTCTTTCAATGTGCAATGTGTGGATGTGATCTCAAAAACAAAGAATTCAAGCACTTTTGCAGTTTCTCTTTTATTCTGTCTAGAGATGTAGATTTCCTAATCCTCACACTATTCCAAGACACAACTATTAAAAACTTCCCTTGAGTTAGATAATCTCCATGACTCCATAGAAAAGACAAAAACATGGAGCAGGAGAAACAACATGGTAGGAACTCCAAGGATAAGGTAACTCGTTTTAGAACTCAGACAGGTGAGGCCCTTGGATGATTCATATTTGCTACAGCCCTTTTCCATTCACATAACTTTCCTCCAGCCAAATCCCAGACAGAACCAGGAATGGAAAGGTAGCAAAGTGGATGGTTACTTGCCAGAGTTGTCCCCCATATCTGTGGGTGATATGTTCCCAGTGGGTTCCTACTAGTAAAACTGGAAATAGTATCAAACCCTATATCTACTAGGTTTTTTTCCTATATACTAGTAAACATACCTATGATAAAGTTTAATTTATAAATTAGGCATAGAAACAGATTCACAACAAAAACTGATAATAAAATAGAACAATTACAATAATATAATCTAAGTTATGTGAATGGTGAATTATTAAATAAGATAGGCTTACTTGAACACAAGCATAGCTCAACAGTCAATCTTATAAGCAAGATGGCTGCTAAGTGATTAACGGGATGGTAGTGGACACATTGGATGAAGGGATGATTCATATCCTGGGCAGGACATAGTAGAATGGCAAGAGATTTCATCACGCTACTCAGAACAGTGCTGCACAATTTAAAACTTATGAATTGTTTATTTCTGGAATTTTCCATTTAATATTTTGGAATACAGTTGGCCACAGGTAACTAAAACTACAGAAAGTGAAACCATGAATAAGGGTGGACTGCTGTATCTATTTCAGTTTTGAACCTAGAAGAGCGACTAGTACAGAGAAAGCACTCATAACTACATGTTAAATGCTGAATGATTCAATAACCATTTCTTTTAACTTCCAATAGCATATCCTTTCTTCATTTCTAGCTACATGTATATAAATACATTTACATTTAGCTAAAATTTATTTTAGAACGATTTTATCAGCGGGACATTATAAACTGCATGAGAACATAAATGACACACATTGCTTCCTTGGTGTTTGTCATATTGAACTGAAAGTTCCTTAAGAGCAAGGACCACGATGTTCTGTGCATGTCTATACTCTGCACGGTACCTGGAACACAACAGAATTCAACAGCTGTCTGCTGAATGGATGGATGGACAGAATGATAGGTTGCTGGAATGATGAATGTATGAACACTATAGGATTTTTTCAAAGAGATGCTCAATGTTTCTGAAAGACAGACTTTTGAGTGAGATAAGCTCACGAATAATATCCGTATCACAAATAGGAGACTATTACTGAATCTCAGGGTGACTATTAATAGTTTTCTCAACAGAATTCTTTGACTACATTAATTGATAGGTGATATAGGATTGGAGGCTAATTCTGGCACCAGATCTCCAGGTCTGGACTATGTACAGGATCTGTGTAGTGCTTCATAGTGTGTGATTTCAATCTTCTTCAAGCTTCATGGGCTAGCAGTACTGTACAAGGCCTTTTGTTCAATATGTACCTGTTATAATTAGAATAACTTAATGACAGAAAAAAAAAAGCAAATTCCTAAGGTCGTCTGTGTGGACGGGCCATTTTGACTTTTTACATTCTCCATGTACAATACAGCTGATTGTGGAGTATCTCTTATGATATCAAATCTATGGCATCTAAAAGTGTTTAACAATGAACCACAATGGGCAGTCGAAGCAGATACTCTATCTGCCTTCTGTTCATATTCTCTCAATATATTTATATAGGATGTCCCTCCAAAATG